TGAATCAGATTAAAAGTCCTCGTGTTCATTACGTTAATAGTGTTTTGTGTATACGAAACTAATAACGAGAAGGGCTCATATTAAATTAGGGCCCTTGTCGATATTAAATCTCTTTTCGAGTGCGGTTCACGCTCTTACGCTCCGAAAGTCATTCATTCAAATAAGCGACCCTCCTTTTACAAACTGTCACTACAAACTTTTTAAACTTCATAGCTGAAATAAATTCAACCATTAATTCCCGCGATATTTTTTTAGTTCGCGCCTTGTGATTCAATTACGTTCGCCATTAATCAATTGATATATTTTTATGAGAACATTTTGTAATGAAATTGCTCGGGGGAGAATTTACTGAGAATCTATCAATAGCCAACTCGCCGATTTGAATTCTGAAGATCCTGCCAAAACCCAAATTCAAAAATGTTTTCACCCAAAAATTTAATTTTTATGTTCGTCAGTAACAAATTTGTTGATAAATTGTTGAGGTTTATTGAGTTATGGGGTGGTGTGGTGTTTGGCAAAAACTTGAAAATTGAGGTCATAAGTCTACGATTGGTTTGGTTGTAATTGGTCTGCAGCTTGGAGCCGAAGAGCGAAAAAGTCGAGACAAAGGGCGTAAATCTGCCGTAATGTCGCAGAAATACACTTGGAAAAAACTTAATGCATTAAATACAGCATGAGCTTAGCACTGGCGATATTAATGCCATCTATTGGCAAACTTATAAAATATGTAATAGGAGGCGAACGGCACTCCATGCAAACTGGAGCTTAGGGTAAAAATCAAATTACATAAATGAAACACATTGTGAACTTTTAATTTATGGCCGTTCTGAAAGTCGACCAATTGCATCAGAGCGAATTTTTATTCTCGTCCTATTGTTAGGAATCGATTTGAGCGAATGGCTCGAAATCAACCTAAAAATTTATTGCCATTTATACATGTTCGGGCGTAAGAGTTTCCGAGGCACCAGTAAAAAATTAACGCTGTGCTGCTGAACACAAATTAAAAACTTTGAATAATAAGAATGCCAGGGAATAACTTTCAAAGCGCTACAATAAAACTCTCAAATACAATTAATTGCTACGACGCCCGGACAAAACGAATTTTTCCCTTTAACTTAATTTTTAAGTTTCTCAATAACGAAAACTTACCAACATAAAATTTCTACTTAATCTCATACCAAATAGCTCCGTCCACCCACTTCTGTTCACACAAACGCTAAACACGAATCAACTCACAAATAAAACTGAATTGCCAAATAAATCTTCTGATTTACCCGGCCCTAACATAACACGCATCAAAACATGATATTCCTCTTAATAAATACAACAGGCCCTCTACTCAAATAAACAAAAATGTTTTTATCCATTTATTTAATTTAGTCTTACTACGCTTTGTTAAAATTGTGATTAGATTTACGTTTTTATTACAATAGCTCTAACCACAATTTCAACATAACATATTCAGTAAATTAACCAAAACAGAGGATTTTTCTATATGTAGCAAGACAGTATATACAGTAGCAGTATATTGTGTTGCGTCACGTTAGCGTGTAAGAAGGACAGGGCCCCAATAATTTGTAATGTTGTTGGAAAATACTACATAAAACCTAATTATAAACGTGACTCTTGAAATTTCTCATTAATGATAATAATTGTGGCTCCATATGGTTATATAAATTATAATATTTAATATGTGCATAAGTGTTTGCATAGTAATACAAGTGTATATGATAAATGTTTGGTTAACGACTTTTTAATATAATTTTTGTCACCCTATATTTGCAGTGTTGTCGAATCTAAATTAAAGAATTCTAAATATTCGATGTTTAAGATATAATACGACGGCTCAATAAAATAAATAAAATTGTGATTTAATAAAAAAGAAATAAAATAATTGATAAATTGGATGTGAAGTGAACAAATATCGAAAGCTTTTAGGGACATTCTACTTATCTACTATGTAATAGCAAATAAGTATCCGACTTTAATCGTATCAATAGTAATCTGTAGAGTCACTATGGTTGAATGAGCGCATCATTCTGTATTTCAGGGTTGTATTATTAAGTCGTCCCCTATATAAAAGAGGAAGCAATCCGAAATAAAAGACATTGTATCGCTTAATTTAATTTGGTTAACAGATTAAATTAAAAGAGAGATCGAACCCAATTGGATGCGATTGATAAGAAAAATGTAACAATAAGTAACGTTGCAAAATATTAGTTAGTTAGAAGCCGGTATAAAACAGCGCTAATATCAAAGTGGTAAATGGCTCAATTTAAACGTCATTAAAATAGTTAGCATGACAAGCCAAGTTTCAGTCAATTAGGTCGGGTGACGGAATCCGTCCCTGCACAGGGGCTGTAGACCATCAGCCACCCCAGTGCTAAAAGCCTTTTGGATATTACATGTTAAAATGGGGGTAAGTAATTCGATTTGTGCCGCGTCTCCAACTAACGGCCTGTTCCCTGCTCGCGAACAGGACTTCGAACACTGCAGAGGGATATCTGTCGCATAATGAAATGTTTCATTAACTTGAAAACAGAGATCTCAGCAACGAACCGACCACCCTTAATGACACGGCTCATTCGATCGCGTTCTACACCCAATTACATTTTTCGACAATTCGCATTCTGTTTATCTATACGAATTTAATAATAAAAGAAATGGCTGAGTGCCGAAATCAATGAAATGGAGGGAGTGCCACTATCAAATAAATAAAATAGACACAAGAGCTTCTCAATGGCGGAAAATGCCATAAAATTGTGATAAAACAACCGCAATATATTTACAAGACTCTATCATAAAAAAAAAACAGAAAATATACCAGATTTGTTCATTTTTACACATAAATAAGAGAGATTCTTGTTTTATATTTGAACATAAAATATGAAAAACAAATTATAAGTTCTGTATAAACAAAACTTTACTTAAAACTACTGCTCGTTACATATAAAAACTCTCATTAAAAATCTATTGATGATTTTGAGACACGCTGTACATCTCCACAAAGTTTATAAAAACAATTTTAAACACTAAGTAATGTCTAACAAACTTTTTGCAATTTTGTGAATTATTATAAATTTTAAATAATAATATTCTGTTAAAAAAAGTAAACACTAAGAAATAAAGTTTAATTAAATTTTTGAAAATATTGCCAATATTGACGACTACATAACTTAATTGATTAGAAAAATACTCTTTATTTTCTAAATAATTTTGGAACGTATTTTAATTGACACATTTCTTTTTCACTTGCTCTCATTCAATTTTTGTTTTAAAACTTTTATTTCATGATCATAAGATATGCATTGCATGTCTGCATGTATTAGGTGGGAATTGAAAATACAAGGAGAAGCATCAACTTGAAAGTTTATGTGAAAGAATGATGAAGATGTTGTAACAATGTTCGTTGAGGTGTGAACAAGAAAAGTGTTGTGTAGAAAGGTTTGGAAAATTTCTTTGTATATTAGGTCGCAATCGAGTGAGTTTGAAGCATATTGGTGCTTCTTTCCAAAGCGAGAGCGTTATATTCGATGGGATATAAGTTGATATATGAGCCATATCGCGCGATCGGGCTACAGGAAAACGCATCAGTTCAAATAGATGTCAGAAATCAATACATTCAATCGCCTATACGTTAAAAGCTTTTCAAAACAAACTGTTTGGATACCGTCAGTTGAAAACATAAATACATAATATACTATAAAATATTAAAAAAGCACGGAAACTTCGCTCGTATTTCAGATTTTTCCTGATTTTTCTTTAATAAATTGCTTTTCAGAAGTCTCTGCAAATAATTCAAACTGAACCTAAAACCTAAACAAATATCTATAATGTATAGCTGATATCGTCAGCAACAGCGCGCTTCACAGCTTAAGCCTACACGTCTACAACAATAAATAATTATTTAAATATACAAGTATATTAATAAAATGATAATAAAAAAAGGAAATATTGGGTGTAGGTATTTATTAAGATAATTGTAATGTAGGAGCTAAAATGTAACACATCTCTTTGTGAAAAGCCGTCCAACAAATAGACACCACCATCCATACAAGATAACTAAATTTAACTTTAATTAAGATTAATGATATGCAGAGTAGTTCTATCTTCAGTTTAGAGGCCGCCACTTCCGTTCCCCTTCCATTAACATCATCTACAGCTTTTAGCTTGATCCCGATAAGGTTGTTTGCACCAAATCGACTTCTGCGCTTCCGTTTGGAGCGCTTTTATCCACCGATTGAAAGTTTTTAGATTAAAGTATCAACGGCTTTATTTGTTTTATTAAAAAATCAATAATTAAAGAATCGATACAAAGTAATTTATTTAATAAAGAGATTTGAGAAAGTAGTAAAAAAATATGTGAGGATTAAGATTCGGTGGTGAGTGTGTTCATAACGTAGAACTAATAGCGGTTGGAAATGCGTGGAACGTGGATATAGCAGCGTATATAAAGTTATTACGAGACATAATAACGAAGGTATGTATGTGTGTTTGAGGGAGTGTGAGTATGAGGTCGGAAGTCCGGCAGCGAGGAACGACAGCGGGAAGCCGCCAACAGGCCAGGCTTTAGTGAGTTAGTGATGTGCTCAAACCTTTCTTCCACCGCTAACATGTTTATGCTAGTAAAATACCTCCTTACAGATTGAGTCCCATGTATACTCCGATAATACGAGTCCGGAGGGGGTAGGGCGGTCTTGCAACCCGTGCGGGCGGTTCCAGACGCGCGCGCGATCGCCAATCACGGCGTCGTTCTGGGCCCGCCGGTCCTCCTTCCCACCAATGAAAAAAGCATTAATCTCTTTTAAAAATAGAGCAGTGTGCAGCCACGCAGCCGGGCAACACGCACCGACCGGCCGAATTTCCCCTACCATAAAGGCCAGTGTAATGAGCTTTAACGGTAGCACATATTTAACATGCACTACAGTTCATAGACATCCCCACCGCGGAGGCTGCTGAGTCACCTTGCCGCCGCCCACCGCCTCAGTCATTGCTCACCTCAAAGTCTAAGTCAGTTCATTGCCGACTCCGAGTCACCGTTGGCCACCGCGAAGTGCTGTGATGTGCAGTGCTAGCCACGTGTTGTGAGAGACCTGACTAGTCCCGGTGACGCGAAACGCGTCCTCACCGCAACCACGGCGTCTCCCGAAGCAATGACGCAACACAGCGACGCGTCCAGCGACCGATCCGAAGTCTCCGTGACGCCGCCACCACCAGTCTCCAAAATGTTGGAATTCGCTAGTCAGCAGAACCTCAGCTTCCTCAACATTGAACACCGGAACATGCTCGCCGCCCCCTTGGCGGCGCTCCATTCCATGACAGAAATGAAGCAACACCAACACCAGCACCACCTCAGTCCGGACCACCTCCACGGCCCCGAGAAAAACGACGATGTCCTGCTGGAGCGTACAAGTTTACACGTAGAACGCTCCGGCTTGACCTCGCGCAGCCCCTTGGGGGCTACTAGCAACAGCAATAGCTCCCAAGGAGCTAACCCGCATGGTATAGACCACATACTCTCAAGACCCTCGCAAATCACGACGGGACCGCTGCATTTCCCGCATAGTCTGGGGTTCACGCAGAACACCCTGGGGATGGCTTCCAACAGCGCGCAAACGGCCTCAAACTCAGGCCTACGAGGGTTTAACATCGCCGCCGCTGCCTTTTTCCATCACCACGCCGCCAACTCCGTCAACAAGCCACCCGTCGAACTTGGCAGAAGCACCGGCGGACTTTACTGGCCCGGTTTCCAAGGACTCGTCTCAAATCCTATTGCTTGGCGGGACCGGCTCAGCAGCAGTAAGTCCAAAAACTAGCAATGACTCAAAAACCGGTTTCAGTAATTAAGTAATTCTCAGTGAGAAATGCTTGAATTAATTTAACGAGCTGACAACTATCTCAAGTGCGTGCGTGCGTGATGCATGAGAGGATGATGATACAATGATGCTATGCAGCATGTTGATGATTTCACGTTCAGGGCTCTAGTTTACCTGTACGGCCACTAATTCCTATCGTAAACAGTGTCACCCCGCGCAATCCAATTCAAGTCAAATGTTTGTTTCGCCACATCACAAATAGAATATGGTTTCTATCTAAGTTAATCTATTTGCCGGTTACAAACAAATTTACCAAAGCGCATTAATCTATCAGTCTTGCATTTTTGCTTTTACGATCCGACGATAAAAGGAACTCTCAGTAACGTGAAAAAACAAAATTTATCTTTTGTTTTTGTGATTATCAATGACCGAAAGTTATACTATGATAAAAAGAAAATAAAAAAACATTCGGCGCTAGAAACGAAAAAGTAGATGGTCCATCAAATAGTAGAATATAGGAAATAAAAAATAATAAAGGGATGATTGAATTTGATATTACAGTCGGATGACTTAATTTTATGAAACGATTGAGAAACGAAACAAAGTTTGTTCACTGAATTGAAACTCTGTTAGAGACATTAACAAACAAATTGCCCTAGGAAAAATCTGAGCAAATGTTTGTTTTAGTAATTGTACGGGGTCTGTTCGCTCGGTTTGTTAAAGAATTGTCCCTGCCAAAAGAAATAACAATCGTTATTCCTTCAAACAATATTATCATTTCTTCACATCACCCTGTTTATATTGTATTCATTTAATCTGTATTGGGGAAAAATGACATTTGTAATTAAAATGATTAATCACCATTTCTTGGCATTATCTATTGTTTATAATGGTGTAATGGGCGAAATAATAATCACTATTCGAGAATGTAAGCGACATATGCGTTTCTTCATTAGTGAGTTGATTAGGTGATATCAATACTAATTCCGTTATCGCACAGAGAGGCACATATGTTTGGAGCATTATTACATCATATATCACAATATACAAGTATAGGTGATTGCGGCCAGTTAGACTAGAGTAGAGAGCGAGCATTCAACCCCTCCACCCCCTCAATGAAACGTTGGGCGCGGATACGTAATGACCGGTGACGTATGTGTTATTTGTTTGGCGCCATCTGGCAGTAGCGTTATTAACTTGGCAAATCAAACAAGCCCAGACATTAATTACGGAGATCTGATAGCTGTCGTCCGATTCGAACCTTGTTTTCAAACATATCCTCATATTTTATACTTCAGATGTATTAAAATGGCCGCGCAGACGTGCTCGTTTTTTAGGCCACTCTATATATCGGGCGCCGAAATGTTGCCACTTCAGTAGAGAGTTAGAGACAATTACGCTATAATCTCAACATATGTCATGTTGGTGTTATCATTTATTCCATGAGAAATATCTATTTTATGAGTTGTAAAACTTGATAGCATGCATTACAATTTGCACCTAGATATAATCAACTAAGATGCGTTTACAACTCCAAGTCTACGCGTGTCCTATTTCGTAAAATTTGTTTACAAAGTGTGGACCGTAATGAAGCGATACAGCCGGTATATAAATTTAATTAAGACAACTTTGTCTTATGCTCGTAATAAACAGTTATCTGAAGTGTGCGTCGTATAATAGCTAACATGGTCGACATGATGGCTTTTGCGCGAAGTACGGCGTTATAACAGCCAACTTCGCTAATTGAAGACCCTAGTACTGAATTACTTGTTCATCGCAGCAACATTTAACGGTCTGTCATGTTACTGTTCCGGCGTTCAACCCGCTTTTACTACCTCCACCAGCCGAGCTAGGGATAAATTTACTCCACGTCCTAAAACCGATGCCACCGCTTCCTTATTAATTTTCGACAGTCGACACTAAACCCTCACATTTTCGCACTATACGGTACGATGTACGAATAATTGATTCTGTACTTTTTATCGCGCATATTGCACCCCATACAGCACTTTATGAGCGATGCTGGCGTGTTCCACCGTATCAATTTGCGTATCTTTTAATTGAAACCATAAAAGTCACAACGAGACCCGACGCAGACACAGACTTATAATTTCAGTGGGGGCATAATAAATCTAATCGTAAAAATTTTACGGACCGAGATATCTTCAAAACTACAGACGATCATCACATTAAATTAATCATTACGATTCGTTATGGCTGACAAACGTTTCGGAATAATATTTGCCTAATTGGAAAGCTTTTCACGTTTTAAAAAAGTATCTGCCAAACTAGAAAATTATGTCATTTTTTATTTTCAGAGGACCACAAAATACACAGATAAAATCATCAACATTAAAACAATTGATAATACCTACATAATTTTTGTAAATAATCACTGTGCCAAATATATTTCAATTTTTTTGGGGATATTTTGAGAAATAACACACAAAAATTTTTTCATAGCTTTCTCGAGGGTTTTTATTGGCATTTTTATGTTTAGAAAAAGGTAATAAATAGGTGATCTCTATTGATGATTTTTTTATGCAAATCTAAATTAGAAATTTTCTTATACTTTTTCGTACAATCACATTTTTCAAGTATCACATTTCGAAAATTTTATCTCGCTTTATGTCTAGACTAACAAAAGAGGAAACCTATATAACCAACTAACCTAATATACGTAGTAAAACTTTATAAATTCTCTATTGTATAACCCTTTCTGATGATTTAAAGAGTTACCTCAATAGGTATCTCATGTATAACATGTTAAATAAATGGTTTTTTATTTATTAAAATAGATTTTTATTTCAAAACTTTACATTTATACTTAAGTTTTTATTACTGATACTCGAAAATATAAATTGCTTTCTAGCTTTCTTCTATAAAATAGTCGAATATAGCCACTTTCAGAATTTTAAATGCGATTTTCTTAAAAAAAATTAAGAAAAATTAAAACGGGTTCTAAACTCTCATTCAGCACTCTAAAAAACGTAAAGTACTCCGTCTTAGTCTAAAGGAGAAAAAATATAAAAACTTGTTGGAGAGTGTAATTATTTATTATTCTTTTTATTTCAGAAAAATGTTTTTACAGTTTTACAGTCAAAATTTTTTGACAGATAAATTTTTTTAAACATTTTTTTCATGTTCCTGGTATCTTATCTTACTTGAAATTTTTCTCTGGGGCGCGAGTTCTGGCGCACCCTGTATATGGCTCAAAATCATTTTACTATTTTCATTATATTATTTATACAGTATGTACCCGGATTGAGTTTACAAGAGGAAAAAAAATTATCTTTGGTTTGACGCCAAAAGTACAAAGGAAAAACATTTTTTGCTTAACTTGAAACGAGCAAATCCGTAATCAAAACTTCATTATTCTGACTCAGTGGAAAGAAAACATCATTTTTTTATTTGGACTTGTAATTTTTTTCTATATGCTCTTTAAGTTCCATCACGGCGATTTGACAGCATTATTTGAATAATTATTGTTTTTTATCTTAAAGCTGTTTCCTTGAGTTAGCTTTTATTAAAATTATGTTTTTCACAAATATTTTTGTTGTTTAACTCATTTGTCAAAGTGAAACGTTGTCGAAAAAATAAAACCGCCAATGTGCCAACGAAGTCCAAAATCAAGAGAAAAATGAACTTTTCTATACAATGAATCAAAATAAAGCAATTTTAATTTCAGATTTGCTCGTCTTAGGTGAAGCAAAAAATGTTTTTCCTTTGCTGTTTTGGTGTAAAATCAAAGATTTTTTTTTCTCTTGTAAACTCAATTCGAAAATATACTGTATAGTTTATATTTGATTTTATATGTTAGAAAAGAAAGCAATAGGAAACATAAACATGACACGGAAACAGAATTATCTACTTCCGACTATAAGCGCCGACATTTTCTAGGAAGAATAGTTATTTATTATACAACACGATAAAGAAATTGTTTATCTACGAGTGAAAAGGTTAAGTTTACGAGTGACGAAGTCACGAGGGGACTTTTTTCACGAGTAGATAATAGCTATTAACGTACCTAGGATGTAATGCATGTTATAACAGCTGCAGATGTCAGTTTGAAATCCGAGCGAGGATTTTAAGACATCTAAGGCTGTTATGACATTATTACATCCAAGGTTTGTCCAAGATTTTATCGGTTTCTGTCGAATAAGCCAAAAATTGGAACAGGTGCTTTTGGAACATTTCATCGTTGGCAGTAATTTGAAAACAATGTCATTAAACGTCAACATAAAAAATCATCTAAGAAAATTTAGAGAAAACACCAAAAAAGGAACAAATTCGGTACCGCCAAAAGTTTTTAGAAATTCGGAAACGAAAAGTCCAGAAACTACTACTTAAACGATGAAATGTTTTTTCCACTTTTTGTATCTGCAAGGTAAAAATGACATATCGATATTGTAAAATTGACATTTCAATATTGTAATATTTTACAGCAATCAATAAGGTTATGCCATAGTTACCAGACTATTTTTGTGTATGTAACATTGCTCTTAACAGACAGAAACCGATAAACAATCTTTATCGTCCTGCATAATATTTTGTTTTATTTTGAATTCACCAACCAGAATTTCTTGAATATAAACAGTAGATAAAAATTACGTTATTTCACTAGACGATAAAAGACTACTTTATCTACTAAAATTAGTTGATAAAAGCACTTTTTAACATTGAGTACAAAATAAAAATCTTTTCAGAAACTTAGGCATTATATCGTTTTTATTCTTTGTAGAACAGCTTTGATGTAAATGTTTAAAATCAAAACAATTAATTGTTTGAAAATCTTTATGCAACAAGAAACGAAAGTTACATAATAATAATAATTATAATACAGAATTGTTAACTGATCAGTTGCTAACTAGTAGGTGATGATTATGAAATGAAACAATTAAATAATAAAAAAGCTTTATTTGTTCAATACACATTGATATATTTCAAATAAATCGATTAAAGTTATTAGGTTATAATTTATGGGTACATTTATATTTTTTATATTTACCTGTGTCTTGGAGTCTGTATGATTTAGTAATTCCAAATTCAATGGTTTGTGTACATATACGTATTCTGCGTTCACTATCTGCATCTATCTCTGTTGGCACGGTTGTAATATGAGCGTGAATCGCTTTATCTCTTGTATGATGTGGGCTTTCTGAGTATTTAGCATGAGAATGGTATCGATGGCTGTGGTCCGATTAAAAGAGTTAGAGATGTAAATTAGTCCCGGTATGTAAAAGGGGGTTCGGCGTCGGCGGCGTCGTCGGCATCGTTGCGCAACGTTCGGGAGATTGTTATCGTCACAATCCATCTTCCGTATCGGGAGAAGTGTTGTGCGTGTCGTGTAGAACAAGCATCACCATTGTAGCAGTGTTTCTGCGGTTGCTAGAGGCGGTAACCTAGCAACGGAAGCAGCCGGGGGTGGGAGCACGGCCGCACCGATCGAGCAAGCTGTTTTAAGCAAGACACCCTGTTAGAATAATTATATCTCTAGATAACGGGATCATGAGATTATCCACTTTAGTATCGCCCCATCTCGCTTATCTACACACTAGCACTCTCTTACATGCTCCTGTTATGTCTGTTGGACGTTATCCTTCTCCCAGTATGAATAATTCCTTGATTGCACTTTCATGAAACTGACGAACAACGATCTGCCCCCTTTTAAGACGACTCTTGATCATCACGCAGACCGAAACACTATTACCGACTAATATCGTTGCCATATTGGGAGTTTCTCAGCTCTTTATCGATCGACATGATTTACGGATACGTGTTCACTATTCTCGCACTGCCGGAACATGGGAACATCATCTGAAAAGGCGGATTTCAACGAATATCCGACCGATATCGGCAGCTACGTAAGATCCTACGACCGAGACTATAGATGCATTATTGAATTTGTTCCCGGCTTATACCTCCCAAGAGGAACATCTAACGCTACATCCTGCGTTGTCAGCATATATAGATTATTATATAGACATCTGGTCTGTTCAGTGTAGAATCTTACAGATATAAAAGTATCGACTTCGACACAATGGAAACCTAACCTGGACTCTTTTGCATCCAACGCGATATTTTCGGAACCATATTGCCAATATAAACTTGAATTGTCCTATAAATAATATCGATGTTCCAACAATACATCCTATAATAGCGAAAGCACGTGTTCTCAGAATACAGAGAGCTTTTTAAAACCAATACATACGAAAGATGGAGACGTTACTAAAACTGATTATCTCGCATTTACACCCTCTCTTCTTTTATACACTTCATCTCTTATGTTTTTACAACTTAAACTAAACTATTTTTCTATTACAGAACAAGATGCTTACTTTAAATTTGGTAAGTTACAATTATCTCATTTTGAAAAGCATGATTTACAGTTTGACTAATAGGTAGTACACATGTCAAAAATTAAAATCTATGTATATTTGAAAAATTAAAAAATCATAAAAATTATTAAAGTTAGGAAATACAATAAAGAAGAATTAATCTATCCCGGCGCATCCACCATTTTTAATCGGTTTCTTTCTATCAATAATAAGGTTTTTAGAGATTTCAGAGTTTAATTTTTTATAAATCTAAAGCCAATTGTGTATTTTTACTATGTATGTTGTTACTTTTTAAGTCAAAATGCAAGACTTAAGACAAGGAAGTTTTTTATTAAATACGCGTTATTTTTGACGTTAAATAAAACTTGCTAGTACCCTGTTTTTTCCAAAAGGATTCTCAAATGTTATTTTTTCAGTTGAAAACTTAAAACTACATGAAAGCTTTTTAGTCGAAGATATTTTTATCTATTTAAATTTAAGTTTTAGAAATCTTTGAATAGTTGAAACAGTTTTTTTGAATTTTGAGTAAGAATAAAATTCAAACATAAACATAAAAAAATAGTTGGTGGAAGTAAAAAAATAATAAAGTAACTATAAGTATGCCAAGTGCTCCTATGTAAGATAATCAGTTTACATGCACATACAGGGTGTGTCAGAATAACTGGCGCCCTAGAGAAAATTTTCAAGATAAGATACTAGGAACATGGAAAATATGTTAAAAAATTTTGACATTTATTTTTTGACTTTTAACATTTTTTATGTATATTTAATAATACTGATGATTTTGTATATGTTTTTTTTATAGTTATTTAGAAAGGGTACAAAAATTTTGCCACCAAAACCAAAACTACAAATAACATTAAAGAGAGTTGCAATTTAGGATACAGCTTTTTTGTTTCCTCTTCTAATAGCCTGTAGCAAATAAACTTGAAAAATTATTATTTCAACAAAAATAAATAGAGTCAAAGTGCAAAATTTAAACTCTCATAACTTCGAAAATTTTATAGTAGACTTTTTTTAACATTTCTTCCAATCTTCCATGTTCCTGGTATCTTACCTTACATGACATTTTTCTGTGGGGCGCGAGTTCTGGCGCACCGTGTATTTAATTTTAACGCATTTTTTAAAGTTGCCACACAAATTATACAAACTTATCAAAAGTTGTGTTGATATTATTTTTATTAATATGAGTTTGAAGAATGAGAAGAGGCATGTGATATAATCTAGCATTCGTTCATGCCTTGTCATTTTTTTTACTTATTAATTTTGTAAGGGTGCAAAATCAGAATGATTTTTAAGCGAATGAGCCTCAAGAGTCGCAAATTAACTTTTATGCTTTTAGAAAAAGTTGATTTTCTGTCGATTTTTTCTTGCGTTTAATTAGTCCGGGATAAAAATGTGATATAGCTCGTCGTTTGTGGATTTTTGCGTTGCGTCTCCCCGGCGGAGTTCGTCAGCCCTTGTAACATGTGTTGAGTGAGCGAGAGGAAAAGATTTTAGTTAGGTAGTGATTTTCTGAGTAAATTCCGTATTCTCGTCGCATTTTCGTGGTTTTGTTGTTCTGTATCGTTTAACTATTGGATTCTTTTTGGTGCGAATCGATTACTTTATAAAAAAGGGTCGAAGAGTGGGAAAAATCTTGCCTTGAAATTGCTAGTCATAAATTAAATCGTGTGTTGGAACGTATTATGCGTGAGGGTTTAGTCGCCATCATGAATTCTTGATTCATTGCTGATTTAAAACGTAATCATCACTGTAACAAAACTGAGTAAAATGGCCGTATAAAGTTCGCTCATAACATGATTATAAAATAAATTTTGCCCAAGCGCACGCATTGTAGGCCAACGATTTGTTTTTTATTGTTCGGATTAAAGACAATCCTCGATGACATTAAACGTTTCACCCTAATAATTATAGTCACTTTGTCACAAAAATATCTTTTTTTTCTTATTTTGCAGTGAATCAGGGCAATGTGGGAGGAATTGGGCCGGATAAAGACACGAAAAAGAAACACACGAGGCCTACTTTCTCAGGACAACAAATTTTCGCGTTGGAGAAAACCTTCGAACAAACCAAATACTTGGCAGGACCTGAAAGGGCGAAACTCGCCTACGCTTTAGGGATGACGGAGTCTCAGGTTAAAGTAAGTCGATTTTCCCTTATTCAACCATTTCGTATTTCATCGATTCCATACCTAGTTCCAAAAGCTCAAAAAAATCGTAATTTTTTAAACTTAACTCAATAACGTTTCATGCACTTTTTTGAGTCTTTAGGACCTCTAGAAATGTAATAAGCGTTATTTTGTTATTTAAAGTTTTTACTTGATATTTTGATATTTTATGATGAAAAATCTCTCATGCTTTGCTCTTATGCTCTCTTATATTTGCTCTTTCATGCGCTCATGATCTCTTATTATGCTTTAAACTTCGCGCTCAGATGCGCCTGCCTTCTATACACATTTGAATTGTTAGTATTTGAATTTGAATAAGAGAAAAATTGCTGATTTTAGCGGAGTTCGAACCCTGGACCTACCTGCCCGAAATAGTGACTTTATGTCACTACGCCACCAAGCTCCCGGCATGTATTTGTATTCTAGCCTAATATATTTATATTCGATAATTTAAATTTTTTAAATTTGTGTTTTTACGATGTGTTATGGACTTTTAGACCTTCTACTCTTCGAGCAATTTCAAAGTTTTCGATTTTTAGTTTTTTAAAAAATTTTTGGGCGATTTTCGGTACTCGAAGAGGTTTATTGTCAATAACTGTAGAATTATTAGCAACAGCTCGCTATGTTTCGTACCGTTTGAAAGCACTTTTAATTTTTTGTCTTATAAAAAAGATTATTGTACTATGGCAAATAGTTATTGAGAAAATCGCTGGTAAAAACAAAAATTACAAAATTATTTATTCGGCAACAACTTCTAAACTATCAAGAATTTTGCGGTTTTGTCGCCATCAATCGACTCCCCTGAACATAGTACATAGGTACAGTACAAAACATAAGTCGTTTTCAACAAACCTTAAAAAAACCTCAAAACTTTAAAACTATTTGTCCTGGGTCAAAACGGTTTATACAAGCGAATTCTACGAGTAATTTTACATATTGTGTCAATTTTTGAAAAGATTGAAAAAACATGATTTCTTGATCACAATCGAATACCTACGCTTAGGTATGTAGCCCTATTCTTGGCTTTATTACTCAATATCTCAAAAACTACTTGTCGTAGGGAATTTTAACTTGTTGCATCGTGTTCTGTGTGTGATTTTACGTGTAGAAGACTATATTTTAAGCGTTTTTACGACAAAAAATTAATTGATAATTGATTAATCACATTTTTCAGCATTTTTACTGTCCTTAAAAAACTGAAGAAAATCGTTTTTTTTTATTGGTTTCAATAACGTTTTATGTACTTTTCTAAGTCTCTAAGACCATTAGAAGTGTAAAAAACGTCATTTGGTTTAATTTTCGATTTTTTGAGAAAAATTTAAAAAAATGCTTTTACGATAAATAAGTCTCATGCTTTTATGCTTATGCGCTTTTATTTGCTCTTATGCACTTATGCTTTTTTATTACGCTTATTTAAATTAAAGAAAAATTACTGACTTTTGTGAAATTTGAACCCCGGACCTATCTGCCGGAAGTAGTGACCTTATATCACTACGCCACTACGTCGCCGGTAGTTTCAATGCTTTAATTTACATGGACAATACATGCACAAAATTATTTTTTCTGAAACGTTTTATACACTTTTCTGTGTCTTTCTGACCTTTGAGAATGATGCATTTGGTTTACCATATGTCTTGCAAGTTTTTTTTGATTTGAAGAAATTGGAGGGTATTCACTTTTTGAGTGTTTCTTTTATTTTGAAAAGTAGAAATTTTTGGATGTGTTGAAATTGTCGCTTGTATATGGAAAGTGTTTTAACTTTAAGTGAGCGGTAGGAAGTTTTTGATTAATTTTTTTCTTGCTTTCCGTTTGATGAGTGCACGTCGGTGAGGCGTCCGTTAATTTTGGGTGGCTTACGGCAGCGGAATGCGTGGGAGTTGATTGGGGATTTGGTTTAAAATTAGTTGCATTTAGGGCGTTTGTAATATTTTGACGGAGAGGAAAAGCGTATCTGAACATTAATCTGAATTTAAATAGGCGGATGAAATGTTGAGAAATATGTTAATTTTTCAATTATAAATCTAATATAAATATGTTAAATATCTGGTCGGCAGTAAGTCGAGCGTATTGAAAGCCGTCAGTCGGCGATTAGTCGGTTCGGCTCAATATATCGGCTCGTTTCAAAATGAATCCGATTAACTTTAAGTATGTTGTGGGGTTAAAATAGGCCGAATCGAAATCCCCCATGAGTAATTCGGTGGCGACGCGTGTGCCTGCGATATGTTTGGAATTAATGAAAACAGAGCAGTCCGGGAAGTCGGATCGGGGCTTGACGAACGTTTTCGACAAGTGTAAATGCCCCCCTTTTGTTACTCTGTAAATTTGCATTTTTATTGAATCTCTAGCCACCGAGATTTGAATATAAGCCTGGATGTTGACAAAAAATAATACGGCTAATATTGAGCTTCAGCGCACTTCCACGACGCGCTTTTTAAACAACCATCCACTTTTTCGCTCACAAAGAAATCCCTTTCAACAAATCATTTCACGTTCAGCCACACAAAGCCCACTGCGACAACCGACAACGCCACACACTTTTCACACACTAACATTAACTACATCGCACCGTATCATCACCAACAACATCAAATCACACAATATCATTAACAACACATTTCATTATCTCACCCTTGACTCTTTTTTATTTTTACTAGTCTAATTATATTTGTTGTACCAAAAGAAAAATTAAAATTGATAGGTAATGTCGGAATGGATTTTTTGGTGGAAGATTTGTGTGTCTGTCATCGGGGGATGATTTGAGCGTGTCCCTCGCTGTCTTGTTAGGATATCAATCAGATCGGCAAATCCAAATAGCAATGACGATGTTTGTTATAAACAAGTGGCGCCCCCAGCGGAACCCGCCGCCCTAATTCAATTTGTCAGGAGATTATACGGCACAGCCGCACACCCTCCCTTAAACGATACATCATACAAGTACAGCTGGAGCCATAGACGGTGACTTAAGGGGTACTAAGGACAGACACTCATTCGGGAATATTCACTAGTTGTGCAAAAAATCCGGTTAAATTAATGAAATCGTGGTGAGAGTGGCGTAAAAATTCGACGCCCGTTGCGAGAGCAATTCATATTTAAATTTAATTAAACTTGTAACAAAGATAAAATTAATTTTTAATTTCTGGAGCTAGGTAATGAAGGTTGGAGATCTTAAAAAGTAGACGTTTAGTTGAGTTTTACGATGATTTTCTCAGCGGTAAAAGTGCAGCTTGGGGAGAGTTTTGTCCAGATTATTTTTTCTTGTATTCTCGGAGGTCCCTTTAGTTTAATGAAGCCGCGGTTTAATAGCGCCTCGTCTTATTATTTATTTACTCGCATCAAATGCCGAGCTTTCCTCCCTCTGGAAGTGCATTCAGACCCGACAACGGAAGGATTTAATTTACAAAAATGCGGAATGTTTTATGATAATAAAACTGCGCTCAGATTAAATAAAAATGCTAAATAAAAAGCTCTCGCGGGGATTAATAAGTTTGCGAATCTCGACTAGTCCCGCTTTGTTAAGCTCCAAATGGGACGCCCGAACCCACACGCTCTCCTAAACATCATCGTATTAAACACCAATGAATTATACTTTCACTTTAATTCACCCATTTTCAGTACACCATCTTGCATTCATAATTCCACATTTTTACCGCCACTCAATTACAAAAACTATAGACACCAATTAACTCTCTCTCTCTCTCTCATTTTGACCATTATTGCTTCATCTCTATTTTTTTCCACAGACGCGAGTAATTTTTGCGTTCCAATAAAACCCCATCAAAGGTGCAATTTGGGATTGTAAAAACTTCGCGATAAATTTTTATGGGTGGTGTTTGTGTGTGGTAAGATGTCTCGTCCTGACATCAATTAAAATTAGTTTTGTATATGAGCATGTTATAAAATTTTATAGAGAGTAAAAAATTTGATGAAGGTATTGTAGAAATTGTCATCTAGCGTGAACACCTGCAGTTTAATATTTATGGTGGTTGTCTAAATAGTTGATACGGCAAAACTAAAATTCCTGTAACCGCTCATTTAGTAATGTTAATCTTGCGTAATTATTGAATAATTCTGTCGAAATGATGCTAAATAACACATGGTTATGACGTGACGCTACTGGCCGAACGTTTGTTCGTTTTGAGCGTTTTGTAGTTCATATCGCGTATCAGAAAACGCCTGATAAATATTAAAATGATGTGTGCGTTCGGTTGCCGGTCATTTATTCAATTCAGTGGTCGACTTTGTCGAAGTTTTCCCAAATACAATTCCAGTTATCAAAATCAAAAGGTCGGAATATCGCAAAGTCGGCGAAAAAAACTCGATTTGAGTTAAGTGATTTCAGTTTCGGGTCGGTTGGACGGGCGTTGAATTAGCATGTTAATTGCGTGTTTTTGCGTTGAAGGGTAGGATTGGTAATTTGACGCGACGCGTCAGTAGCGCGATAGAGAAAACGCGCGATAAATATTAAAACCGGAATGAAATGGACATAGAGCCATCAAAGCGTAATATTTACCGAATTCAATTAACTGATATATCCTATATAAATTTCCCCTTACAGCGGTGACATTCGGCGTGGCGGAGTCATTCCAACCCCCTTGGCCGGCCGCCATTGCTGTCGAGCCCCAATCCATCATACACATGACACATATAGAATTTTATTCTGCGGTATATCGATGCATTGGTCCAGGCCCGGCTCTTCCCGAAATGACGGTTTGATTTATTGCTGACGTCGCTAATCTACGTGACGTATATATGTTTTTATTGTTTGCGAGCGCAAAACGTCCGGTTTTATAATTCCAGATAAAATCTGTATGAGTTACATGGCGGGGGTGGGGGCCGATCCCGTACCCGCCCTAATCCCCGGTCGCTATGTAAATGCAGGGTCATTAGTGTGTCGTTAACCGTTAACGTAAGGCGACCGAATCGATTAACGCTAAGTGACTGCGTAATTAGCTGTACATGTTGCCGCGGTGCTGCAGAATGTGCGCTACCCCTCATCTCCGCTACACCACTTGGCTTGCAAATTAAGGACCACTCACTCGCAATTTGTTTCCACGCACATTGCCTTACCAATACACCCCCTCATTAAATCCGATCACAACACACTTCATTTGCAACAAACATCATTATACTTAATATAAAAAAACACAACTCTCGCTTTTGTCTCTTCCTTTTCCTCTTATCATTTTCATAATGTTTCACCCACTGCCATCCCTATGCTTTCTTCTTCATTTTTGACAACTGCGTCAGATACATCAGTTTAAACGACCTCTTTTAAATTTTCTTATTGTAACTGCTGGAACTTATTCTTATTACATATTTTGTCTCTTTCAGAACTTCCTCTCGTGTCATTGATCCGTCTCAGACTCGCAAAAGTTGATATTTTACAGAAACTATTACTCTCTATTGCTTATTTATATCCGCTTGGCGTAGTGACAACATTTACAAAACTTTGACAGTACAGACATATTTTAAATTAAACTAACGATTCATCCCGAAATAATTTTTTTGGTTGCTTTTGCTTTCCTGTTTTGCCCTTTTCTTCAGTTTTTTTTTCACACACAAACGAATTTCTTGAAACTAATAGCCCCGACATTTTCCCTATCACTCACTTACTTATATTTTAAAGCTATTGCATTATTTGGCACCGTGACAACACTTTTAATCCATTTTCAATATTTGAACATGAATTTTTACGAAAAACGTTTTTTCGTTTATTTCATAGTGTTATTATGGCAAGTTTCCACTTTCAAATTGAATCATTGACATTTTTTATTTTTATTTTACTTATTTCAGTGGTGTTTTTTATTTTTATTTTTCAATAACTGCCTGATTTTTTGTTTTGTTTATATTTGATTTAGTAATGCATTTAAGTGTATATTCAATATTTAAAAGTATGGTGTTTGCGCACGGAAAGTTGGCAAATTGAGGAATCAAATAAAGGAAAATAAAATAAGCTTTTCAACTTTATTAATTTTGTGGTTCTTGTGATGAAACTTTTTTCTTAAAATGTAAGAAAGTTCAGAAGTTTAGTTAGAAATTTGTAAAAACTGTGGCAGAATGTACGTGAAATTGTGTTGTATTTATTTAAAAATATAATTTAAGTCGAGACGATTTCAAGTTGATGTTTTTCATTTGATATTCACCCTCTTCTAATAAAGAAGTCGGAAGAACGTGATAAATCACTGACGGAAAAATTAGCAGTTGTCTTATCTTTCTCCGCTAGCTGGAATTAATTTTGCAATGATATTTTTCGCAATTAAAGTGAGACCTTGGGTTGAATCCGTGTAAGATTTAGTGAAATATGGTAATTGAAATAATGTATAACAAATCAGGTCTCGTGAGCCAACATCTTCGCGTTTAATTGATGAGAGTGGCGTTCTCGCGCATATCGAATCGGTAGCATCGCGTTTCTCCTCCCTGTATTAACTGCGAGACCCTATTTTGCATGATTTATCGTTGTACTATAGCTCTAAATACCGTGTAATTCGCAAATTTAATATATAATGGCTCTGTTGTACAGAAATCGCTGAAAACATGTAGCCTGCTTCAGCTGTTTAGCAGTTTTGCGGAAGGTTAAACGATACATTTGCACCCCTTGTTCGACTAAAGAAAGCTCCGCCTTTTCTCCACCCTTAAGGATGTTTGCGACCTGGTCTCTCTACTCTGATAAAACTTTTATTAATTACTCTTCACTTTGAAACATGGCTGCTTGCACAAAAATGAACTTGAATTTTGTCCTCATATGTTTATTTCTGTTTGTCTTTTTCAGGTATGGTTTCAGAACAGACGCACCAAGTGGCGGAAAAAGCACGCGGCTGAAATGGCGACGGCCAAGCGGAAACAAGAAGTGCTAGATAACCAAACTGATGAAAACAGTGACGTCATTTCCGATACTGAAGATGAACACGCAGCGAAGAGACAGAACATACAATGAGAATTGGAACTTGTTCAAATAGAGACCAAGACTCTACCTGTAAATATGGTTTAGTGATCTCAGTGTTTGTGAAGACTTGTGCGTGAGACAAGAGACGTTGTGACGCGCTTTGTAAAAATGTTATATATCTATAAATATATGTATACGTATGTATAATGCTATTTATTGTTCATTTAGTGCGTAAAAATTGCGCGATTTTGCCGTACTAGGGTGAAAATTGGGCCGTTTTTGCGACAAAACTTGTACAGCAACATGCTTGAAAACATTGCGGGAATAATATCCTCCATTGTACATAACTTTTCTTTTGTGTTTGATAGCAATATTTACAGGGTGATTACGGAAATAGGATCGTGGAAAATATTATTCCCATTAAAATATTTTTATTGATTTAAGAGCTCTCGCCGCTCTAAAATGAGCTGAATAGATTTGTGTTGGAAAATTTCAAAACATCGTGCAATCTTCTTACTATAGGTCGCGGCATTTTGCAGCTAAATTATGTATATTAAAATGTATTTGTAATATTAAAATAAATATGTTCAAGTGAATCACGATTTTAATTAAGCCTCATCCTGATAAATACGCCGAAACATTCCAATAAATTATACGATAACGATAATATACTTTCATCAAATTTGACTTAATTAACTTGTAAATTCTGTCAATAACATCACAGAATTTCACTCTACATATAAATAAAAAAACATATGCATAACATATTGCCACCCACCGTATGGTTATGCACGATTGAGCTATGATGAAGAGATAACTTCCGTAATAACAACCGATAACAAGTTACACAGCAAAGTAATTGACACATATTAAAAAATCTCCTCTGTGCAAGAATTTTAAAATTTAGACCTCAATTTCTGTCAAAACATAAGTAGCAATTTCGTCCAAGAAGCGTAACATCAGCAACCGCAGAGTCGTGAGCTCCAATAACAGTTAAGTAAAACGTAAGACATAATCATTATCGGAATAAATTCCGTGCTTCTTGTGTTAAAGCAATGACTTGAGCTGGATGTAGTCTGTCTGAGCCAGTTTAGGAATAAACATAAATTTTGAAAAGGTTTGATGTGAGATGATCGTGAGAGAATTAGTTGTTTTTGGAGGTAATGATTTATTGGTTTGGTGGGGAGTAAACCGTAAACTTTTGATAGGTAAGATCTCATTTGAAGATAAAAATGCGCAAAGCCATCCCTGTCGTGTTGTGTACATATGTAAATCCGCGTTTTTCGTGTAAGATATGCAACTTGATTTATCTTCGATGCAGAGCGGGGAGAAGAGCTAGGTGGCTAGGCGCCAGGACGTTGCCTTGACGACGTCGCCATCGCCTCCCACGACGCTGACGCCCGTCGAAGCCATGTCCTTACCCCCGAGGTTTCCACATTATATACCCACTACAGTTTTTCACTCTCTTCACCCTTTCGCGGTTAATTTACCAGCGGCTGTAATTGTACTCGGATTCCTCCACCAAAAATTTTCGACTCCTGCTACTAAGCGAATTTACATGGGTCATTTACTTCAACTATTATAAACGTTTACATTAAAACTTCATCGCCGTTATAGTCCCCTTACGGTATTTAGCAACACGTTTATTTAAAGATGCATTGTTATAATGAAGTTTAATTATGATAAGTTATCTGCAGTTGCTCGTTCATAAATCACAAATATAATTAAATCGTTGGTCGGCAAGGCAGAGCGCTACAGTCTCACCCTAATTATATGGTCGTACATGGAGAACAAGGGTTCCGGCCCTCAGTGGCGCACATTTCACTAAACAATCTTCGCCAACACCGAAATCACCAAATAATTAGCTCGAAATTTATACACAAACCCGGAGCCAAGTTATTTGAAACATTCATTTTTGACAAAGTTTTGATTAATTGGGTATCGTGAGAACTTGGCCCCATCTTGGCAAAAATTAAAAAATCCCTTCGCCGGCACTGGAACCCTTATATGCGCCCCATTTCGACCAATTATATTAAGCGCTGAATACAAATTGACTCTTTTCAAAAGCTAAACGGTTGGGTCTAAAGTTATCATTGTGCAGTGAAAGGTCCTGATGATTTTTATTTATATCTAGCCAATCGGGCTTTTGTGCTATCCTTATTTGTCACACCGGGTAGAGAAGCGTACTTACTATTTATGCTCTTTTAATAACCGCTCACAAGTTTATTTCGCTACTATGATACTTCATCCCCATGTTATATTATTAATTTATTACCGTAAATAACCATGCAAAGAAAAAATTACAATGCTGCAAGATTTATTATTTTTTCACAATTTATCTACGATCTATTTTTATCGTTTTATTCAATTTGCAGCAACTAAACTAATAAGATAATCCCCTGTTTAATATTACTTTTTATACAAAGGGTGCCCCATAAAATGATTAAATACATACTGTGAATCATAAAAGCGTTCTTTCTGCCCACATTTTTCACAAAGACACATTTTTCTACGACTATTATAGAATAAAAATCTTTTTGGTGGAGTTTTAATTACAGAATATAAATATTTTGTAACACTGTGCAAGAATACTCTCTCAATAGTCACAGCTAGCGTCATCTTGACGGTTGTTAAGATGTCTAAATTTTTGTCGTAGAAAAAGTTTAGTTTGGAATTCGTTTAGAATAGCATCATATTCTGAACGTGTTACAGAATATACTATTTTGTTTCGTTAATTTTTTTTTTAACATTTTGAAACAGTAGGTATATGTACTTATAAATTGTGTTACTTATGACAACTATTTTTTTTTAATCTTCCAAGGACGCAAAATTGTTTTAGATTTGAGTGACAGAGAAAAAATATTCTTAAGCAAGTTTAAATACTTTTCTTCTTCGACACTGTCAAAATTTACGGTTTTTCTCCCGTGTAAGGAAGTTTTGATAACTGTTTGGCATTTTTCAATACGAAACGTTAGATTATTTTTAACAGATTTAAAGCAAGTTTAAGCCTTATTGAGTCTAATTCGAAGAATAAAATACTTTATTCATGCTTTTTGTTTTTAAATTTTAAATTGAGTTGATACACTTTTTTGAATAAATCATATAGATTTTTAAAATTTTGCAAAGTTCTATAAGTGACAACAAGAGATTAATATTCCACTTTTTGACCCTAAACCAAAGAGTTAATAAATTAAATCAAAATTAAAATCAATGACGTTTTGGTGCACGTCTTTATAACCCCAAAACTGTGAGTTAAAAGCCGATTTCCTAACGTATCACCAAGAAACACCATCCGATCAAGTTAACCCAACGATGCAGAAAATGAGTTGGGGTGTGTGGACCTATAAAGGTGTGTAAGTTAGCTGCCACTAAAGGCCTTTTAGCAGCCGGCTTGACACCTGGGCTTGCTTTCCTCCAGAGTCGGATTAAGCATTTTTAGTGCCACTATCAAATTTTTTTCCCAATTTCTAACACTCATCTTTTTCATGGTCAAAATTAAATGCGAAATTGCGTGAATTAGGCACCAAACATGTCTAAAAGATGCAAAACCTCAAAATTTTCAAACAGAGTCTGTACCACAGGCCGGCCCTGTCTAAATCCTATTTTGAATGGAGTCACCGAGTCTATTCGACACAGGAATTCATTCTGGACGACCCAAAGCGGCTAAAGTCAGCTGTGAATGGATTTTTACACGAACTTCCTGTTTTCGATGCAATTTGTCGTTTTCAATGAGTGCATTAACAATGACCATTCAAGACCGACTTTTAAAGCTGCTATTAGGTTTAATATGGGACTTTGCCATTGTCATATTACTTGAATGGGTGTCCGTACCTGAATCCGATTACCGTAATCGTTAAACTATTTATTTTCCCCAGGTTTTTAGCCATCGATCTTATTATTGACTAACTAATCTTTTACACATCCTGCCTTTTTAAATTTCGGTTCATTGTGCCAGTGAGATGCTTAATCGACTATTAAATAACTAAGAGCCACAAATTGATACGAAAGCTAGACTTCAATATACTATCATTTGACAGTTTGATACTCAAATAATTTGTATTATCAAAAGCAGTTGATAGAGGATTGTCAAAATCGGTGGAACCTGGAAGCGAGTGGTTTCCTTTTCTCATGGTTAACAATGAATCTGGTTTTTTAATGGTATAGCGTCCAATGTTGTAATAAATAATGTAAGTAATGACCCTCCCAAATTCGATTTTAATATGATGAAGCATATAAACTGTGCCGGTTAAATCGTTGCTCCTACTGGTCTTACCGTTTTGTTATGTAAATGCTTATTAAATAATAAATTGACTTTTATACAGATGTTTTATTGTGTCGTTTTCTGGAGAGGGAGATGTGTGTTGGTTTGGTAGGATCGAGGAAAAAATAGTTGTAATTGGTGTTGGGTGATAAAAATGGTTTGATCATCAAGTCATCAAGTTTATTTTCGAAGGAAACGCTATAAAGTGTCCGCTGACAATGGTTAAATCACAAATAGTACAATAAATAAGGGGCAATAAAAGCAAACAACTTAATATTAAAACCTTCTGTATTAGGAATAAATCTTGTGTCTGGTCTGTGGTAATAAAATATACCTGGCCCATCATTTGTCATTGAGGCGAGTTATTATATCCCGGTCTGTGCTCATCCCTCCGTGTGTGTAAAAAGGTGAAGGCACATGAAGAAAAAGTCTTCGAATGTAGTTTGCATGAGTTCGTTTATTATAGCGGCTGAGTCAGCGTGTTGATTGTTGATGAAATTTCATTGAGTCGAGTTAGAAGCCGAGCTTCTGGTCTGAGATCGCGATTAATTTAACTTTTGATAGAGATAAAAGTGGTTAAAAGTGCGCAATTGGCCAACAGATCTTGATTACAGCATAATGGGGTTGGGGAGTTTTGGCAGCGACGTTCTCGATTTGCTGCGGTTTATGCCTGCTTTATTATGCATTATTGTGTTTTTCAGATCAAAGATAAGGGACAAATGCCCCCGGATTTAAAATAAATATAGTTCGGAATATCGCGACAAATTATGCCGTAGACAATTTACATTTTATCCTGACGATTTACGTCATCAATAACCATAAATTTGGTTTATCGCCACTAGTTATCCAGACTACTTTTTTGGTTGCGGTAGTTTATTTTAAATTAATTTGTTTTAGATCTCTCAAAGCACCACTGAATCGAACCTATGCTCAACTGATTTTTATCAATGATAAATTCACAACCAAAAATTTATTCCCACCAACGCCATGATTTAACTTCACACAAACGACATTTACATAACCCAAAAGCACCGAATTTCACACAAATATGCCATCTTTATCAAACACCACAAACTTATTTCATCTCTTTCCATATCTCAACCACAAACAAAAATATTAACAAAAACCCATTTACGCATTTTAAATATAATCATAGGTGTAAAAAAAATAATTCTAATAATTCCAATAAATAGGTTTAAAACCCAATAATTCGTTTCTCCCTAAAATTATTTATGCGTCTTAATTTAAAACAATGCAAGATTT